CTTCCCAACAAGTGAAACCGGCAGGGCCACGCAGGAAGTGCCTGTGAGAACGCGAAAGGCCAGGAACAGAGGGTGAACAGGTTGGAGATAAGCTCAACTTAGTAACCACTTAGCCCCAAGGAGAACACGCCTGGGAAGTATCCCCAAAGCGGGGGCCTGACCTAATAACCGAACTGAAGGCCGAGAGAGCCAACAGGGTGACCCTGGACCCAGCACGTCCCGCCTGACACCCCAGGGTCCGCGTGTGCGAAAACGAGGAAGTTTCACTAGCCACTTCCCAAGGCTCCTTCTGGCGTCATCAGCTGGGGACGCTGGAGAACCACTGAGGCAGACCCGCCTCGACTGCTGCTTCGCCCAGCAGTCACAGCCTCCCCACACCAGGGCTCACCCCACCGTGTCAGGGCCAGGGCCCCTGGGTGATCCACTTTGGTGTTGCCAGAAACTTCCCTGAGGTCGAGGATGGGCCTCCCAAAAGCCGGGGAAGTGTTCCACGGCCACCAGAACACACACTTCCTCATGCACCCCCTTCCAGTTCAGTGCACACCTGCCACCCCCAGCCCCATCACCCCCGATCTCTGAGCTGCCTGAGATGGCAAAGCAGGCACGTGCCCCCTAGGGTCTTTTGTCTTAGCAACTGGGAACTCTCTCTGAATGATGAGTCTCTCTGAGCATTCCTCTTACAGAAGGAGAAGCTAGAGAATACGCTCTGACCTCATTTAAGACACAAGACACAAGGTAAGCAGGAGGCCGGCTGTCAAGGCGGCACTAAAGATGCCCTAAGAAGGATGCTGGGCATCTGTGCCCCGGCTGGTGGAAGAGAGGCCACACCAAGCCTGGCTCTCTGAGAACAGCAGAAGCTCGAGGCTCTGTCAAACAGGAAACACTAACATGCAGTGAGGACCAGAGAGCTGCATTCACTAGTGGCGAGAAGTTGCCAAGGGAGTTCTCAGGGCACTTTCTGAACTGGTACCCTGGAGGAATCCAGGGCTGCGGCCCTTCGGAAGGCTGGCTCCCGCTACCACTACCACTACCACCCTTCCAGAGGGGGAACGAGTGAATGCCAAAATGGTCAACTCAGTTTAATACACACGTGTCGACACAGAGGCCCCAAGAAGCAGTGGCCTTTGGAGCTGATGGTAATTAGGCCCCTGGCCTACTTTCTAAAATTGGCATTCCATGCCAAGGAACCTGCTCCAGGCCTTAAAAGAAGGAAGGTGGTCCAAGGGGTTGAGGAGGTTCTGCTGAGCACACTGGCCTCTCTAAAAACAGCCCTGCCCCTCGGCCTTCCCTTACTGGGCTAATCGCTGCCGCCGCAGCTGTCCAAGCTGGCACCAAGCTCCAGCAGCCAGCCCAGCCTCCCCGGAGGCAACAGGTGCTCCGACCCAGAATGTGAAGGGCCACCAGCAACCCACCAGCCTCGGAAAGTCAACTTTGGAGGGTCAACCACTTACAAGACGCAAGCACACTGAACTCTGTGCCTCCGGGGAGGCGCGGGCGGGGAGCACTCAACAGAGGGAAAGCTCGGGTCCAACCCTCAGCGCACCGACCAACAGCCTAGCTCAGAGCAACCTCGGAGTTGGGGGCGGCGGCAGCGGGGGTGGGGGGAAGAACACGGGGTGCCCAGACCCGAGGACCCCGGCCCACCAGAACCCTGGGACAGGACGGCTAGGTGGCCAAAGTAATTTGGCAGATGAGCTGGCGCGGGGGAAATGCGTTAGAAGCCAGACCCTGGCCGCGGCTGACCCCAAAGCAACCTGGAGCTGTGGAGGAGAGCTTGCTAAAAGCACACGATGAGCCGGGAGGGGGTTTGCAGCAGCCCCGCCTCCGCCTCTCAGGCTCTGGAACGGAACGGAACGCAAGGCGCCCAGGCCCACTGCCCCCCGTGAGAACGCTCATTCCCTCTCCCGGGGCCAGCCTCCATTCAACTGGCAGCTGGGGCCCACGAAGGCACCAGGTGTACCAACTGGCCACCACGGGGGAGGGGGCCGCACGAGAATGCGGCTAAGTTCTAGAGACCAAGCAGGAGCACCAGACAACAGGACCACGGCAAGTCAGCCTGGTGGCAACACCCGGAGGCACGGACACACCGCGGTCTTCGACTCTGACTGCACCTGACTCCTCCCAATGAACCCAGCCTCAGGTTTAGGGGCGGCCTGGGAATGGGCAGGGTAACCTCCTCGGTCCACTGCACGGTGACCACAACTAATCCCTCTCTTCTAGCCAAAGGCCCCAGATCCATACCACAGGCCATGGGAAGGGAAACACTGCAGGAGTCGACACTGCAAGTGGGGAACGGCAGCGTCGTCGGATTTGTGGGGCCCCAGGACGACAGTTCCCCAGTGTGGCACACCGCCTGCCCACCCCATCCCCGGGTCAGGATTGAGGCCGCTCAACTCTGCCCCTTTTCTCGAGACGGCGACCTCATCTGTCATCGAAAAGTTGTCACTGCTCCCCAAACCGCACCAGAGATGAGGAAGAGTCTAGCAGCCATTGGGGGGGGGGGAAGGGGGTGGGACTCTGCGCCAAAGGGACGCATCCGCCCGCCTAGTTGGCGGGGGTAACGGTGTCTTGTCTGAAGTCACCACCGCGGGCGCCGCCCCCGCTCCCTCACCAGCTGGCCTAGAGGGTTCCTCTCCAATACTTAAAGACACCCCCCTTCGAAGGCAGGAGAAGCAGGGGTGTCAGGATGGGGACAAGAGCAGGGCAGAACAGACAAGCCATGCAGAGCAAAGGGTCTCGGAGGGGAGTCCCGTGCGGCTGGAGAAGGGAATGGGAGGAGGGGGGAAGAGGGCAGCCAGGGAAGGGAGGAGAGGAAGGAGAGAGAGAAAGGGAGGAGGGAGGAGAGGAAAGGAGGGAGAGGGAGGAGATGGAGGGAGGGAAAGATTCGAGGACCCAGCGGGCTTTGCACTCACCCGTGTTGTACACGTGCAGCTCGTCCACTATCCCCTCGTTGCCGCCGCCAAACACCACGATGAGCTCCTTGATGGCCACGGCGCGGTGGCCGTGGCGGGGCCGGGGCACTGGACCCGACCAGCCCACCACTCGCTTCCAGCGGGGCTGCAAGAGCACCGCTGGCGAGTTGGCGGCTGACACGGCCGAAGCCATAGTTCCAGGAAAGGGCGCGGTGGAGAAAAGTCGCCAAGTGGGAAGGAAGCCCCCCAATTCCACTCACACACACCCCTTTTCGTCTAAGGTGGCTCTCACTGAGAAACTGTTCCTTACACAGCGGTGGACGGCTCCATGGAGGCCGCCATCTTAATTATTTTCTCCTTCCCTTCTCCTCTTCCCCTTCTTCTCGCTTACCAGGTCTCGTCAAGAGCCTCTTGAAACTGTCAAGCGACTGGACCCGAGAAGCTGGAGGCAGTCGAGTCCCGCCGCCCTGACTACTTGCCTGGGAGCTCCCACTTACAGGCTCGAGCGGGAGGCCCTGGGAGCCGCCATCTTGAGCCGCCTCTCTCTCCTCCCTTCCTCAGTCGTAGCCCTCCCCTGCCGGAAATGGCGGAGCCCCGGCCCGGTTCCCACACCCCCCGAGTCCCCTGCACTGGCCGGCTTCCGGGGCGGGTGGAAAGGAGCCACAAGCGCAGCGGTTGTCTCAGCCCCGCCGGCGCTCACACCACAATTGTGGGAGCCGCCATCTTGAGACCGTCCCGCTTCCCCGCCCAGCGCTTAGTGTAGAGGCCGCTCCCTTAACAGCCTCGACACTTGTAAGGAATAGAGGCGCGCCAGAGGCCAGTGAAACGAGCTTGAGTTCTTGAGGGCTGCTCAGATACTCGCCCCGTATGGCTCCTGAGGTCTCGAGCGTCTAGCCTTAGTCCGCCTCTGCTGCTCAGGCTGCGCCTGCCGCCCTGGGAGCCGCCATCTTGAAACTAGCTCCCCCTTCCCCCCTATTCTCTTCCTCCCGGGTCAGTTCTTCCACTGCAAACCAAACGCAAGGCAGCGTCCGATCCTCGCTTTCCTCTTTATGACTCCTTTCCACAGAAGCCGCTTCAAAAAGGCAGAGTTAGGCCCCGAAGTGGCAACTGTACGGCAGGAGGAGCGGTAACGGCAGGGCGCTCATGCCTCCTCCCTGGGAGCCGCCATCTTGTGCGAAGAAGTAACAACTAAACATGGCGGCAGCGGTGGTCGGGCGAGGGGGCGGAGTCGGACGACGTCACTGTTTTTCACCCCCCCACACCCCACCCTCGCAGGCTTCTCCTCCCGGCTAAGGCCCGTTAAAGGAACTCCACGCTGTTTCGCGGCAAGGGACCGGGGCCGCTGCACGCTAGGCCTGAGGTCAGGCTGCGCTCGGGTCAGGCACAGGCGTGCCCAGCTCTGTTGCTGCCGAAGCGCGCCTCCACGCCTCCGTTCTGGGAGCCGCCATATTGCCACTTCCCCTCGCCCGGCCGTCCGCGGGCGTCAATAGCGACTTTCAGCACAAAACAAAGATGGCGGCTGCGGCATCTGGGGAATGCCCGGATGAGAACGCCTCAGACGCGGTTGGCCCCGCCCCCTTGGGAACTGCCCCCCGGGTCGCTGAAGGGACACTCGCCAGAGGAAATCGTTTTAACTAGCAGTGGGGACAGGACACAGGTTGCAGAGAGTGCCTGACGGGAGACACTAAAATCAAGCTTCGGATCGGGGAGCGGACATTTTCCCTCATCACACCCAGCTGGCTCCAGGGAAGCAGCCCGAAGCCCGCCACTGGGGGGGAGCCGGAGGCGGGGCGAGCGTGGGCGATAACAGACCTGGCGCGCGACGCTGGGGGCGGAACCCTCCCAGGCTCCCAGGCCTCACGCCCCGCCCCCAGGTGGGGGCGCCGCAGAGACCCCGCCGTCGCCCCAAGAAAACTAACCGGGCTACCGCGCGCCGGGCCAGCCCCCGCCCCTTTCCCCGCCGGGCGGGCGGCCAGGCTGGCAATGTTGGAGGCGAGCGGGCGGGCGCGGGAGAGGTCCGCGTCGCCCCGCGTCGCCTCACGTCACCCCGCCCCGCCTGCTTCCCAGAGCCCTGGGTCCCGCCCCGCACGCAGGCGCACAACCGCCTTTAGGGTCCGCCCTTTTTTGAGATTTGAATTTCCCCCAGCAAAGCAAGAGGGGCAAAATACCCGGATGGTGATCGCTGGCCTTTTCGCGCCAATACTGTAAGTTCTCGCAACAATCTTCAGAGGTGGGTACATCATCCTGATGTTCCAAATCTTGCAGGAGCCAGTCTGGTCGTCGCCCCAAGCTCACTCCCAGACGGTGCAGGCTGTAATGCGCTGCTTTCCGGGATCTTGGAATGACAACAGATGGTTTTTCTAGTTTCTCTCGTTTTTATTTGATCTTTACATTTATCAGCCTCTAGGCAAAATTTGGCTTTTCCCGCAACTAAAGTGTAGGTAACAAAGCACGGAGCGTTAACCTGGTGATTGTGTCACCAGGGAAATGACATTTGAGATCATATAGCTTTTCTTTTAGATAGCCTGAAAGTTAGCTAAACTGCAAGTTACTGCAGAATAACTCATTTGAAATTACTGTAGTTATTCAACCTGCCCATAGATCCTGTAATTTAACATGTTAGTAAAGAAGCACGTTTATTACTATATCATACATTATCAAAAATATTTTAATAACTATCTTTAAACATATTAAGTTTGTGCTGTAATTCTCTGTTTTAGTTTATGGATTTGGAAGCATTTGTTTGAGGACGGGCCAATGAGTCCTGTGACATAGTCAAGGGACAAGAACCCTCACCTGTGTTTCTGTGCCACCAACTGCCCTAAGTGACCTTGGCCATTCACACCACCTCTCTGGCCAAGTCCTTCCCCTCTCAAATAAGGAAACTGAGCTGCAGGTTCCCAGCAGCCTTGCCCACATGCAAGGATTCTGTTCTCAGAGTTCAAGAATTACCATGGGTAGCTCCTTGGACATCCAGGTGGCTCAGGTTGAGCTCTCCTGCTGGTGTCCCGTGGTACAGCCTTCAGACTGGCATCCCCTTACCTGCAGAAAGGGAACAACAGTGGTCAGGGTAGTCACGGGCACAACAAGCAGTTGTCATAAGGGATACAGGTTAAAGAAGCCACCACTGTGACAGGCAACAGTGGCTCTTGCTTAAATGCATACAGACTGAGAAAGCAGAAGAGTTTAAGGAACGTATCTTAACCCCTCAGCCTGGGGATTATCGGGTTTTACAGGACTTCCCACCGCAGCGAGCCCAGAACCAGACCAGGGGAAAGGATGATGCTGGTGAGCCCTTGGACCTTCATGTGCTAGGCAGGGTAAACTGGGAAGAACTTTGAGAGTCATGTCACAAGGGTCACAGCAGCTTAGGACTTAAGCCATAAGAGACCTGCCCTGGCCTTCTTAGTGGACTTGGGAAGTTGGTTTGCTAACATGTCGCTTTCAGCTTGCACAAGGGCTCAAGCAACCTCTGCCCAGCGGCTGGAGAGGAGTCCCTTTCAACGCCCTTCCTGCACCTCCTCTAGCAAGCGGACAGTGTTGGACTGCCTGTCCGCAGCTCTCCTCCATGCTTGGCTGGTAGACAGGAGGGTCAGGCTAGCGCTGGTGGCCTGGGGCCCCAGAAGCCTGGCTCTTCACACCAGGGATTCAGACCCTGGGTGGGGTCAGGGGAGGACCTGGAGACACCAGGTGAGGCCTCAGCTGGTGTCCCCGCTGGACTCGGGAGCTGAGTGGGGAAGTGCTGGTGCTGGAGAGGAAGTGAGAGCTGAGTTGAGGGCTTCAGCAGGCCACGCAGAGGAGGGCAGGAAGACAGACTATGCCTGGGAACTCACAGGACTGTATGAGCATGGCACTTTGGTGTCTGGCCAAAAGGCTAGGGCATGATCACGTGTGAGCCGAGAGCCAGCCACTGAAGGGTGTTAAACAGGGGCAGTCCTCGAGGGGGCTGCTGGGGGCTGCTGTGTGCAGACCACGTGAGTGGTGGCGAGCCTGTAAGTGGGAACCCTGGGGGAAGGACAGCCCCCCGACTTAAAGACTCTTCCTTCACCAGAGGCTGCAACAGGGAGGTGCACGACAGTGGCACGGACTGAGATGAGGGTCAGGACAAGGGCTTCAGTTCCTTCATGGAAATGCTGTTCCCCTTAACAACAGGCCTCCCGGAGGTGGGAGGGGAGTGAGAGGGTCACCATGAGACCCAGCCAGCCACTTCCTGGATCTTACAGGTGGGCCCCAGGGCCAGTCAGAGCAATGAAATGGCAAACAGGATGAGGACAGAGGAGAGGTGCTAACTTTGTGCTTGAACTGAAATTAGCAGGTCTTTGCTAAGCATGGGAGGGAGGGCCCAAGATCAGACCAGGCCCTGCCCTTTCAGGGCCTAAACCGCAGGAGGGGACAAGGGGCCTCAAAAATAAACAGTGGTCTGCATACCTAAGAACTCATGTAGGTCACACAACAACTCTGCTAGGATGTACATCCCCATTCTACAGGTATGCAAACTGAGGCCCAGAAGGGTTAAGGCCCAAGATCACAGGGTTAGTAGGTGGGGGAGCCAGGGTTTGACCACAGACAGTTCTTCTCATCCCCACACCCGTGTGCTTGCCTGCCAGCTTGGCTTTGAGTCATTTTCAGGGCACCGAACCTCTTCTCTTGTTAATACATTTCTTGGCAACGAGGCCCACTCATGCCACAGCTGGCCCTGGAACAGTTGACAGTCCATGAAAAGTCCACATTGTTTTTGAATTATCTGTCTGCTTCCGTGACTTCAGGAAATGGAAGGTTTTCGCGTGAGCCAAGGACAGAAGGTGATTTTGAAAGGTGTGGCACTTCAGGGGAGGGTGGGGGAGGGGGTGACCCAGGTTGGCAGGCCTGGGGGGATGGCTCCCTCTGCTACCTGGCCTCAAACCCACTAAGCAGCCGAGCCCTTCCTTCCAGTCTGCACCCCCAACCCACCCCACCATTCCCTTGCCTTAGATTCCAGAATCTGGACCACAGGTAATGTCTCTAATTTAACTGGGAATTTAGTTCAAAGTGTTTTGGGACTGGCTTGGAAAACTCCACATTTGTAGTACCACAGAGGTGAGAAAGCATATCCTGAGTTTTAACAACAGACCTAGGGAAAATTTAAGTCTCTAAATGCAGTGGCTCTAAGGGAACAGAGATGAGGAGCAGGATTTTTCATAATATGCAGATGAAAGAAGAACAGCATAGGTGTCAGGAGAGAGGGTCATGATGAAAACTTTGGTAGATGGAGAAGGAAATGGCAACCCACTCCAGTATCCTTGCCTGGAAAAGTCCATGGACAGAGGAGTCTGGCGGGCTGAAGTCCATGAGATTACATGACTGAGCGTGTGTGCACGAGGGTGGAGGGAGATGGGTTGGTAGCAATAAAGTGGTAGAACTAAAAAAAAAAAGAAAACTTTGGTAGAGCCTGAGGATGAGAATTGGGAAGATGGAGGCGCTTTTTTGGATGGTTTTCTTTCTACCCACACTCTTTTTTGTAACCACAAAGGAAGAAGGCAGAACGGGCCTCCACTGTGCCAACCAATCAGCAGAACCGCTGCCTTCTTCGGGGCCGCTACCTCCACTGGGGCAAGGTCGCAGCATCTGCGTCGGAAATCACGGGGACTTCTTCCTGCTGGCTCAGCTGGGAGGCTGAGGAGTGTTTTGCAAAAAAAGAAAAAAAAAGAAACCGTTTATCCGAATTCTGAAATAACAGCCAAGGCGGCTGCTTTGTGAAGCTCTCCATCCTGGGGCCACACCTAGGGTTCCAGATGAAGCCTGAGTCGGGGCAGGCCCTCTTCCACGTGGCCCTGGCCAGCTGCCTCTGCGTGGCCACCGTCCACACTGGTATTTTTGAACGTGTCTTTGTCCAAGTGGGCTATGAGCACTACGCGGAAGTCCCGGTCACCAGCCTCCCTGCCTTCCTGGCCATGCCTTTCAACTCCCTCGTTAACATGGGCTACGTTTTCCTGGGGGTATACTGGCTACGGAGCCAGGCCTGTGCCCCAGGAGGCCTCGCAGAGAGGCAAAGGGCTCGCTACCTGAAGGACGTCTTCGCAGGCATGGCCCTGGTCTATGGCCCGGTCCAGTGGCTGCGCATCGGAATGCAGACCCGGCCCACTGCCGTGCTGGACCAGTGGCTCACCTTACCCATCTTCGCATGGCCAGTGGCCTGGTGCCTCTGCCTGGACAGGGGCTGGAAGCCCTGGCTTTTCCTGGCTGTCGAAGGCCTCTCCCTGTGCAGTTACAGCCTGGCCCTGCTGCACCCCCGTGGGTTTGAGTTGGCGCTGGGCCTGCACATTGCAGCTGCTGTGGGCCAGGCCCTGCACACTCAGGGGTGCCACGGAAACGCTTCCTCGGGAACGTACTTGGCTCTGGGCGTGCTCTCCTGCCTCGGCTTTGTGGTCCTCAAGCTTTATGACCATGAGCTCGCGCAGTGGCGTCTCTTCCAGCAGCTCACAGGCCACTTCTGGTCCAAAGTCTGTGACGTGCTTCAGTTCCACTTTGCCTTCCTGTTCCTAACCCACTTACACACCTGCCGAAGGTGCCCGCCTACGGAGAAGATGCGTCCAAGTGTGGGAAGAAGGGGCTTATGACCACCAACCCCCTCCCCAATATCTACATGCACTGACCGATGGCAGTCATCAGTGGTCAGTGTCCTGGGTGTGATGACAGGGTGATGACAAGGAAGGCTGTCCCTGCCTTTGAAGTTACAGGCTTCAGTATTATGAATATGAGCATTCGATTTTATGAAATGTTATGCTTTCTGCAACTTACTTTCAAAGGCTTGGAGCAAATATCTAGGGGCCAAGGATGTAGGGGTCATTGTACTGGTCTTGTAATTTTTCTGTGGTTTGAAACTTTTCAAAATAAAATGTTGGGGGGAAGTGACCCCCAAGAAATCCATCACACTCACAGTTGGCTGGAGAATGGTTGTCTGCTTTGGGATGTTGGCTCCAAGCATGGGCGGGCGACTGGGAGGAAGGGCAAGCTTCTGACCAGTGTGCCGGGCAAGGTACTGGGGTTACCAGTGAGTATCCCCAGAGGTAGCTGGCTTCAGGGAGATGGAGTCATATTAAACACACACCTAGCAGACTGATGGGGAAATCCAAAGGCCAGAGCACTAATTGACCATGACGTCTGTGACTGCCAGGCTGACAGCAGGTCACAGGAAGCCACATCCCTTCAGATCCTCTGTGGAACAAGGCGAGGTGCATCTAGATGAAGAAACACCCACAAGAAACACAAATGTTCAGTTCTCAACAGAATGTTGTTGGTGACTCTTCCCTCAGAGCCAGGGGATGGCTTAGATGTCCTTAGCAGCTAGGGTTACTGAAGTGTCAAGTGTCTGTCACCTATGGAGAAACCTGGGGCCTTTAGGAACCATGATTCTCCTGATGGCATCTCAGGTTCACGGGCCCTGGAGTTGGCATCTCTCAGCCCTGAAGCGCGCTTTTCATGCAGATGATGATGTCTGAACTAGTGGGCCCACCCAGGGGTGGGAGACCCTGACAGATGCTGAGGACTCTGCTTTGGAGTTACCCTGTGGAGACCAACTCTCTGCACTCTCTCCTGTTTGTTAACATGTTCCTTAGACACCAGTTTCATTCCCCTGTCACCTAAAAGGCATCTGGTCTTTAAAGACACTGGTGAGGGTGGAGAGGAGAGGACACCCTTTCCCTGCCAAATGGCTCCTTGGTATGGGCAGCCCACATGAATCTGTTCCATGTCTCCTGAGTGTCCCTAGAGCCTCAAGGGTTGGCCGGTGGACCGTTGCCATGACTACCGAGGTGCTTTTGAAACCAGATACCTGGTGCTGGATGTTCTGTCCCAGCTGGCACATCCCCAGTGGGTGGTGGGTCTCAACCAAGTCGTTACCTGAAGGATCCAGCCGAGGACCATCGCCTCTGCCCCTCTCCCCAGGAATGGGGCCCAAGGCGGGGCCTGCCGGGCAGCATTTGCCTCAGGAAGCAACTTTGTTCCACCACGATTATCTCGAAGGCTCTGTATGTCCTACAAGAGCACAATGCCAGGACATCTCCTTGAAGAGGCCAGAGGGGAACATCTGATTTCTCGGCTGGCTTGGTTAGAGATGGAGGTGGGAGGGTGAAGGGCCAGAGGAGGACCAGGGTCTGATTGGGGTGGGGGGGTGGCTCTAACTCCCCTCTGCTCTGCTGTCTCTCTCAGAGTTGCTGTTTCCTTCCTTTACAGTGTGGGTCCCCTGAGAACCGGGACTTTGCATAGCCTCATTCATTCCATACCTTTGAGCCGCAAGTACCCATAACATATTTAGTTGTTGTTGTTGTTTTAAACCAATTCCCATTTAATAAATAACCCTGAGAAACTTCTGGGTGTCGTTCCACTCCTGTGTCAAGCTGGGTCCCCACAGGAAACAGGTGGCACACTGAGACCAGGAGATCTACACACACCACTGTGTGCAGGTGGGGAGAGTGAGTGGGGAACCACAGGGGTCTTTTCCACTCTGGGTCCTGGGGAGACCCTGGGCAGGGTGGACTCCGCCCAAAAAAAGAGACTCGTGTAGAAGGGACACTTCAGGGGGTGCTGAAACCCCCAGAAGCCCAAAGCCCCTGCCTCCTGGCAAGCCTCCCACCTAACATGGTCCGATGAAATACAGGATGACAAATGGTATTTCAGGACCACTGTGTCTCCAGTGTCACACAACACATGCTTATACTAAAAAAATGTTCATTGCTTATCTCAGATTCAGGTTTAACAGGGTGTCCTGACTTCATTTGCCAAATCAGATGACCCCGCATTGAGCCAATCCAACCAAAGCTAGAGGCCTGGAACCTTCCTTCTCTGGCCCATGTATTTGATCAGCATTTCTCAAAGGGTGGCCAGTGTCTGCCACGCAGCTTCCTGTGTCCCTCCAGCCCTGGTGAGTCCTGCCTTTCGGGGCTGGTCCAAGCCCAGCCCCAGCGCTGTCTGAGATGCTGGAGGACAACAGAGAAGCCAGTGGTTGGCAGATGGGCCCCTCCCCATATTTGGCCTAATGGTTTAGAAGTTCCCTAGCTGGGCGGGATCTCAGCATCTGTGCCAACCCCCTCGTTTCGCAGAAACTGAAACTCTTAGATGTTCTACTGGGCTGCAAATTTCATCACTGAGCATCTGAAAGGCAGGTGGCCAGCCTCTGGGCCCAAAGCCTTGTCCTCGGGGCCACCTCACCTCTCCCAGGGGGCGGTGACCATGGCGTGGCCACCTGGCCCCTTCCTGCCCCCACCAAAAGTAGCGGTAATGGTTTCGCTCTGATCACACAGGTATCCAGGCTCACAGCAGGGAAGACAAGCCACCTGAGAGCTCAGTCAGGGTTGTGGTCGCCCCGACATCAGACTCACCCCCCGCCGCACCTGTCTTTCCCAGTTGGTGCTGGGCATGGCTGCAGCCACGTCTACGCAGGCTGCCATCACCTGACCTCCTGCATTTGTGCCCTGGAGCTTGTCTTCCTCTGAGTCAGCCTCAGGAGGCAACTCAGAGGACACCCGGGTTGCCTTTCCCACTGACACTTGTATTTCCCACAAAAATGTGTGTTTGATGGTGGACAGAGAGGACTCCCAGGGTCCCCAGCCACAGGCAAGGTGTCACAGGCTTTTTCATTTTATGCCAATCTGATGGGGGCGAGGCAAGATCTTGCTTTGACTTTAACTCGTGCCCCTCTACACACACACACACACATGCACACTTGTGCACAACTCGTGCTTGTGCTTTCTATTGAAAGTTAGAATTTGTTCTGTAAGATGTTTATATCCTTTCCTCAGTTTGGACTTTTTCTTCCAAAAGTTTGCAAAAGCTTGTTTTATATTATATTAGCCATTCACCTGTCATATGGATGATACACGTTTTCTTATTCTCATTTGTCTTTTGCTTTTGTGGGCATCTTAAAGGAAGGTGGTTGCAGGTTTTCCCTAGTCATGGATTTCTATATGTCTGTCTTTTTCCTTGTAGCTTTTGGGGTTCTTGTGTACATATCAGCTACCTTTGTCAAATCTTAATATCTGCAATAGCTACTTCAGATATTTTTCCTTATAAACATGTATTCTCAAAGTATTCAGAATAAAAATTAAAGTAGTTGAAATGTGCATTCAGAAACCAAACAGTGCAGCTCTCACCACCGCTCACAGGAAATTCACTGAACTAAACTTGACCAGAGCCATTCACAGTCACAATACATGGCTGAGAGGAAATGCCCAAACCCCAAACGCGTTTCATCAAAGGCTGGAGGACAAAGGAGGTTCTGTTTCTCGGCACTTAAAATTGGCCGCATCCCACAGGTAAGCATTTCCCTCTCGCCTTTGAAGGCCTCCATGAGGGGAAATCTTTGGGTAAATAGAAATGAGGGAATTCCAGTTCCCAAGCGAGCCCCCAGACAGCCACGTAACTAGCCCCTTATCAGCGGTGCTTAGGTTCCTGGTGTTTGCAGGTCCACGTGGCCCTCGAGCCGTAGCTGCCTCTCTTCTAAGTGACCTGGAGGCTGCCCACCGCCACCTGGGCTGAACGATGGGGCCCAGGGTCCTTCTAACCATTTTCATGCGTTTCTAGTATATTCTTCCATTTCCTGCTTTTCACTTGGATCCTTGCCCTCCATTGAGCTTCAGAACCGCTGACTTCTGGTTTTCATTCTGCCTCTTCTTTCTCGGCTCTGCCTGCCTTCCACTTGGGGCATCTTCCATGGGGTTTGCACTGTCACTATCTCGGCCATCCCATGCAGCCTCACAGATCACATCAGGGTCCTGACCCTACCCTCCCACCCGAGGCAGCCGCCCTCGGGAGTTCGGTGTAACCTACTCCCTGGCACATTCTGAGACCTTTCCTGGGGGCGGAGGGAGACGAGCAGCCATGCCCACTGCCTGCTGTCACATGCTCTAAACTTCTCTAGATGCACCACGTGGTCCAGAGCCATCTCCCACCGACTGCAGGACCCAATCTGTGGGCGTTTGCCCCCGGGGCTCCTGGGTACTCAGCCGGGGAGTTCCTCCTTTGGTGCTGCTCTCTGGGACTCCCTGCCTACGTGTGAGCATGTCGCTAGAGGATCTGCCCGCGTGCAGCATGCCTGCACCTCCAGCCACAGTGGTTGCTGAAATGACTGCCTGCCAGAGTCTCTGTGTGCCAAGCATCACCAGCACATGGTGCTGGGCGAGGGGTTGCTGTCTGCTACCCGGACAGCAGCCAACTAGAACTGCACTGCCTTCTTGCTTGCCTTTCTTGGCTTAAAATTGAAGTTGCCCGGAAAAATCAAACATATGATTACCATAGGATCCCGGAATCCTACTTGAAGGGGATCTCCCCACCAAGAGGGAAAGCGGGGCCTTGAAGTGATACTTGTCCCCCTGTGTTCACAGCAGCCGTATTCGCAATAACTAAAACATTTAAAACAACCCAAGTGTCTGTCGATGCATGCCTGGATGAACAGAATATGGTTCAGCCCCGTAATGGAGTGTGATTCAGCCTTCAAAAGACAGCCGCTACAACACGGCTGGACTGATAAGGTGTGATGGTCAGTGAGAGAAGCCAGACACAAGGACAGACACAGTATGACTCCACTGGTATGAGGTGCCTAGAGTCGTCAGACCCTAGACAGAGAGAGGAGGATGGGGAGGGGGCACAGGCTGGGAAGGGGGAGTTAGAGTCTAATGGGGCAGAGTTTCCATTGGGGAAGATGGACTGTTCTGGGGATGGCCGCACACCCACGTGAACATACTTAGTGCTGCCAAGCTAGACACTTAAAAATGGTCAAGATGCTACATTTGATGTTTGTTGTTGTTTAGTTGCTAAGTCGTGTCTGAGTCTTTGCGACCCCATGGACTGTAGCTCACCAGACTCCTCTGTCCATGGGATTTCCCAGGCCAGAATACCGGAGTGGGTTGCCATTGCCTTTCTCCACAGGATCTTCCAA